GTTGTTAATTATTCCAGTCATGGTATTGTGGGTTGTTAATTGTTCCAGCCATGGTATTGTGAGTTATTTGTTCCAGCCATGGTATTCTGGGTTGTTAATTGTTCCAGCCATGGTATTGTGAGTTGTTAATTGTTCCAGCCATGGTATTGTGAGTTGTTAATTGTTCCAGCCATGGTATTGTGGGTTGTTAATTGCTCCACCCATGGTATTGTGAGTTGTTAATTGTTCCAGCCATGGTATTCTGGGTTGTTAATTGCTCCAGCCATGGTATTGTGAGTTGTTAATTGTTCCAGCCATGGTATTGTGGGTTGTTAATTGTTCCAGCCATGGTATTGTGAGTTGTTATTTGTTCCTGCCATGGTATTGTGGGTTGTTAATTGCTCCAGCCATGGTATTGTGAGTTGTTAATTGTTCCAGCCATGGTATTCTGGGTTGTTAATTGTTCCACCCATGGTATTGTGAGCTGTTAATTGTTCCAGTCATGGTATTCTGGGTTGTTAATCGTTACAGCCATGGTATTGTGAGTTGTTAATTGTTCCAGCCATGGTATTGTGGGTTGTTAATTGCTCCAGCCATGGTATTGTGAGTTGTTAATTGTTCCAGCCATGGTATTCTGGGTTGCTAATCGTTACAGCCATGGTATTGTGGGTTGTTAATCGTTCCAGCCATGGTATTGTGGGTTGTTAATTATTCCAGCCATAGTATTGTGGGTTGTTAATTGTTCCAGCCATGGTTTTGTGGGTTAATCTTTCCAGCCATGGTATTGTGAGTTGTTAATTGTTCCAGCCATGGTGCTGTGGGTTGTTAATCGTTCCAGCCATGGTACCATGGGTTGTTAATCGTTCCAGCCATGGTATTGTGGCTTGTTAATCGTTCCAGAAATGGTATCGTGGGTTGTTAATTGTTCCAGCCATGGTATTGTGGGTTGTTAATCGTTCCAGCCATGGTATTGTGGGTTAACTGTTCCAGCCATGGTATTGTGGATTAATTGTGAACTGTTCCAGCCATGATATTGTACGTTAGTTGTGAATTGTTCTAGCCATGGCATTGTGGGTTAGCTATGAATTGTTCCAACCATGGTATTGTGGGTTAGCTGTGAATTGTTCCAGCCATGGCATTGTGGAATAGCTGTAAACTGTTCCAGCCATGGCATTATGGATTAGCTGTGAATTGTTCCAGCCATGGTATTGCGAGTTAGTTGTGAATTATTCCAGCCATGGTATTGTGGGTTAGTTGTGAACTGTTCAAGCCATGGCATTGTGCGTTAGCTGTGAATTGTTCCAGCCATGATTTGTGAGTTAGTTAATTGTTCCAGCCAATGTATTGTGGGTTAGTTGTGAATTGTTCTAGCCATGGTATTGTGGGTTACTTGAATTGTTCCAGCCATGGCATTGTGGGTTATTTGTGAATTGTTCCAGCCATGGCATTGTGGGTTAGTTGTGAATTGTTCCAGCCATGGTATTGTGGGTTAGTTGTGAATTGTTCCAGCCATGGCATTGGGGGTTAGTTGTTAATTGTTCCAGCCATAGTATTGTGGGTCAGTTATGAATTGTTCTAGCCATGGCATTGTGGGTCAGTTGTGAACAGTACTAGCCATGGCACTGTGGGTTAAGATAAGATAAGATAAGATTTCGTTCGGATTTTTAACCCCGGAGGGTTAGCCACCCAGGATAACCCAAGAAAGTCAGTGCGTCATCGAGGACTGTCTAACTTATTTCCATTGGGGTCCTTAATCTTGTCCCCCAGGATGCGACCCACACCAGTCGACTAACACCCAGGTACCTATTTGCTGCTAGGTGAACAGGACAATAGGTGTAAGGAAACGTGTCGGAATTTCCACCCGCCGGGAATCGAACCCGGGCCCTCCGTGTGTGAAGCGGGAGCTTTAGCCACCAGACCAGTTGTGAACAGTACTAGCCATGGCATTGTGGGTTAGTTGTGAACAGTACTAGCCATGACATTGTGGGTTAGTTGTGAACAGTACTAGCCATGGCATTGTGGGTTAGTTGTGAACAGTGCTAGCCATGGCATTGTGGGTTAGTTGTGAACAGTACTAGCCATGGCATTGTGGGTTAGTTGTGAACAGTACTAGCCATGGCATTGTGGGTTAGTTGTGAACAGTACTAGCCATGGCATTGTGGGTTAGTTGTGAATTGGTCCAGCCTAACATCATATATTAGTACATGTAGAGAAATTGGCGTACATACTTCAAGAATCTGTGGGGTTGTATAAACACTGCAAGTGACGATAATGTATTTAAATCAGTCAGATCATGAGCTTCGATTGTGGAAATCTCTGGTGGTATTCTTGGCAGAGCAGAAGTATGGAAAAACAATCAGGGATTCAGGCTACATACATGATCGATTTTACTAAAGTTATACTTAAATAAGGGAATCATATGATATCCAATGAAAGGTTTGCTACATAGGTACCGTGGCTAGACAGGTCCTTTTGTTACAAAGGTATTGTGGCTAAAAAGGTACCGTGGTTACAAAGTCACTCTGAAGTCCAATCAGAGGAAAAGTAGCTGCTGCGGGCCTTAAGAATATTTATTTTAATCGAGGAAAGCGCTCAACCCGCAAGAGTAATACAGCGCCTGGGGCACGGGAGGCGCTCAAGTTAGAGCCAAGGCAAGAATAAGTCCAGTTCTTTGGATCAAGAGATAAAGAAACCAGATGATTATTACGTATTTGGATTTGTGCGGAATTATACAGTGCCTAAGGAATGGAAAGTTATGGGTTTGATCCGAAGAAGCGGAGGCCAACTACAACTTCTTGGATTAAGAACCCTCTGCGTGCCTCAAGATACTTCCCTATTAGGAATCATGAGAGAATGTTGTATGTCAGATATGATGGATTTTTGAGAAGAATAAGCGAGAACAGTGACATATGTATGTATATGCAGGGATACTACATGAATACAGTCTGCAGGCTGCAACTGTATGATCGAAGAATGGATTCAGCAAAGGTCTGGTGACAAATTCTTATATTTAAGTATGAGAAAAAGCCTTATTGAGACTTTCCACTCAACATACTGGCCGTCTCCCACCAAAGTAGGATGACCCCCAAAAGGAAAACACATTCATCGTTACTCATTCAACAGATGTCTTGTCAGAAGTGTGCTGACAAAACAGTGGCCCTCCAAACTGCAACATTCCCCACTCCTCCCTCAGAGTGCAGCCACTATAGTTCCCAACTCCACGACTTAAGTCCAGTTAACCGGTTTGCCTGAATTCCTTCATAAATGTTACTCAGCCAACACTTCAACAGCACGTCAAGACAAAAAAAAGTCAGTCTCCACTTCGCTGTAACACGCTCACACAAGCCTGTAGAATACTCAAGCCTCTATCAAAACCTACTTTACCCAGTCCCTCTCCCCTTCTCCTGGGCAGCCTTCCCCTACTCCTTTCTTCAACCCCAGATTCCTTATTATTCCATCCCATAATTTTACTTTACGATAAATCTTAACACCTGGTAAATCAACTTAAGAGTTTTCGAAAATAAGCTTTTTTTTTTTTTTTGATTGGGAGGAGTACTAGAGTAGATATGTCACTAACTGTTATAGTCATGAGGCAGCGTTAAGGCTGTAGGGGTTATACAGCACCTGGGAAATGGGAGGTAATCGGGTTCGATCCGGAGGCATGGGTAGCTCCTGTGCTTTGGATTGAGAGCCCTTGACCAGCATGAAGGCAGCCCTCTCTGAAGGCGCATAGTAGCGACAGCTGTAAGAGTGTCACCCATCACAGTGAGCGTGACGTATAGGCCGCATCATATAACATGTCTACACAATAGACAGCAGTTGTCCTTTCTATGCGATAATATATATGGTTACGGGAATGGTGGGACACGCAACACAGCCTCTCCCAGTACAGCGACTCCACACACAAAAGGATCAGGAAGAAAGTATTACATGTCATCGGTGCAGTGAACAACCTGTGAGTATGATACATAAAGGGGGGCAGGGGCATTAGGTGTTGTAAGCGGACATACACGAGAGCACTATTATCGGTGCTGAAGGTTACCTGGCGACAAGTTACGACAGTGTGCTGTGCTTACGACAATGTATCATTGTGTAAGAAGTGTGTGGGGCAGTAGCCGCCAGGAAGGACCATGTCACATACAACGTCATCTGCCGTCCTCTCATATGCTATACGTATTGCCAAATGCTACACTCCTGCTTTGTTCCCTTGACGCAACCCTTGGCGCAAGAACTTCGAGTAATACCATCTGTTATGTCTTGGCCGTGTGGTCACATATTGTGTAAATACCTACTGAGAGTGGTACCAGAGGTACATGTGGCTGGGATAGCTCACTGTCTACTTCCCTCACACGCTCTACACTCAACCCATGACCCACGAAATCATAATAAAGCGATTGCTAACAAATGACTGAGCGGGTGGATCTCGAACCAATCGAAGGCAAGTCCTAAAAATTCGCATGCCAGGGATACCTGATGATATCATCACTTCCTCGGCGAAGTCTCTCGCACTGTAGAGCACATTACAATCAAAAGGAAGGGCTAAACTTTGTAGAGCACATGATTCGTTCACACAAGGTAGAGCGGTATCGCGCAGGCTTCGTTCACGCACGGAATAGCGTCAGCCTTAGTTAAGACTGACACTAAACTGTTAACTTGCCACACAAACGTTTAAGAGTATGGAAGTTGTGGACCCTAAGCAAAACTGTTGTTGCCACAACCGTCTGATAATAGTAGATAACAATCCATTCATGGCAGAAGATAGCGCTCCATCGAGATAGTAGTAGAAGGTAGTCATTCTCTGCCATCAAAAGTTTCGCTGCGGAACGAGATGTCTTCTGCTGTCTGCCGTACCCACGTAAATAAAAGTACGCTGATGAATAAACTACATGTGCAACGCTTGGGTACTATTATTACCGAACACAAAGATAACAGCACAGCACGTGTGTCTTGTTCATCAACCTGTCTGCACTGCATACCATCAATATGAAAAAAAAATCAACAACACTGGATATGAAACTTACCCTGAACCTGTCGAGGGGAGAGAAGGCGAGTCTATAGACGAGGAAGCAGAGGAAAGCCAGGGCCAAGTAGGTGAGGAGAGTCCATGGTACCCCTTGGCCCAGGCTAGCACCCATCAGGTGCCCCGCCTCGTGCCAGTAGTCCCGGAGACGTGGCCCTGACACCAGGGAGGACACGGAGGCCAGCATGGTGGTGTTGGTCTCCAGGGCGTAGCCAGACACCCATGCCATTACAGTTTCCACCAGCATCATCAACACCTGCAATGTCGACAAACAATGTGAAACATAATTGTGAAATAACAACGCTCATCTTGCCATATAGGACAAGTGAAAATTTGTGTATGCAATAATTTCGCCAAAATCATTCTGAACCTAACGAAAAAAATATATTTCACTGTGTTTGTTTGGTATTAAATTATTGTAAACAAATCTAAAATATATTTAGTTGGGTTAGGCTAAAATAAATTGCGCTTGTTATAATAAGGTTAGGTAAGTTTTCTTAAGTTCCTGTTGGTGCAAAATTAAAAATTTTTACATTAACATTAATGAAAAAAATATATCTTTAAACGTATAAGAGAAAATTTTAGAAAGGACTTATTTTTAAATGAGTTCTTGCTAACTGTCCAATTTTACCTATTCGGCAAGACATATATATACATACACACATACGTAGGGTGACCCAACTCATTCAATCACTCTTGCCAGAAGCATGCTAATATCACAACTCAGACGACTCTCCAAACCACAACATACTCGTCACTGCACTGTACTTCCAGGTGGGAAGTACAGCACAGGCACTGTACTACAGCGGCAGCAGAACAGGCTTGGCAACCTGTATGACAACTTCAACGTGTGGTTACCCACGATGCATCTCCCGCTGCCACAGGCACGACGCCCGTTTATGCAATTTGCTTATTAACAGGTAATTATACACAAATACAGATTAATTAATATCAGGATAACCTAATCTACGATATCCAGTTATTTACTGATTGACGCTTCTTCATCCATCATTTGATATTGGATGAATAAGCATTCATAAGATGAGGTGAATCATTGAATTGATGAGGGAAAAAGAGTGAGCGGTGCACTTAGGAGTCTGTGGAGACAAAGAACTTTGTCCTTGAGGCAAAGAGGGAATGTATGAGAGTATAGTTTTACCAATGCTCTTATATGGGTGTGAAGCATGGGTGATGAATGTTGCAGCGAGGAGAAGGCTGGAGGCAGTGGAGATGTCATGTCTGAGGGCAATGTGTGGTGTGAATATAATGCAGAGGATTCGTAGTTTGGAAGTTAGGAGGAGGTGCGGGATTACCAAAACTGTTGTCCAGAGGGCTGAGGAAGGGTTGTTGAGGTGGTTCGGACATGCAGAGAGAATGGAGCAAAACAGAATGACTTCAAGAGTGTATCAATCTGTAGTGGAAGGAAGGCGGGGTAGGGGTCGGCCTAGGAAAGGTTGGAGGGAGGGGGTAAAGGAGGTTTTGTGTGCGAGGGGCTTGGACTTCCAGCGGGCATGCGTGAGCGTGTTTGATAGGAGCGAATGAAGACAAATGGTTATTAATACTTGACGTGTTGTTGGAGTGTGAGCAAAGTAATATTTATGAAGGGATTCAGGGAAACCGGCAGGCCGTACTTGAGTCCTGGAGATGCCTGCACTCTGAAGGAGGGGTGTTAATGTTAAAGTTTAAAATCTGTAGTGTAAAGCACCCTTCTGGCAAGACAGTGATGGAGTGAATGATGGTGAAAGTTTTTCTTTTTCCGGCCACCCTACCTTGGTGGGAATCAGCCAGTGTGTTAATAAAAAAATAAAGAACATAAGAATGGAGGAACACTGCAGAAGGCCTACTGGCCCATACAAGGCAGGTCCTTATCAAAACCACCACTACCCAAAACTACCTAAGAATTTACTCCTGTACCCACGACACTAATCAAGCCCAACCCCTCCCATTCATATATTTGTTCAATCTCTTTATAAAGCCACCCAAGGTCCTAGCCTCTATTACCCTACTCGGAAGATTGTTCCACACATCCACAACTCTGTTCGAAAACCAGTACTTACCTATGTCCTTTCTAAATCTAAATTTATTCAACTTAAATCCGGTATTTCTGGTTCATCCCTGGTTCAACATCCTCAGTACTTTATTATAACCTCTGTTTATGTCCATTATCCACTTATACACTTCGATGATATCTCCTCTCATTCTACGTCTCTCCAGAGAGTGGAGATTCATACGGGAGATTCCTTGTACAATAAATAATTTTGGTCATTCTTCTCAGTATGTTCTCCAGTGACTATATCCATCCTGTAGTAAGGAGACCAAAACTGAGCCGCATAATCCAAATGAGGCCTCACTAGTGATGTATAGAGCTGTAAAATAACTTTTGGACTTTTCTTACTTATACTTCTTGAAACAAATCCTAGTAATCTGTCAGCCTTATTGCGCACGCTTAGGCACTGCTGTCTTGGCTTTAGATTTGTGCTTGCCATGACTTCCATGTCTTTCTCACATTCTGTATGATCAAACTCTACTTCACCTAGCTTGCACTTCGAGGGATATTTTCATTACCGAGGACTAGGACTTTACACTTGTCCACACTGAACTTCATCTGCCACTTTTCAGACCAAGACATTAATTTGTCCAAATCCTCCTGAAGTTCACTGGTATCCTCCTCAGCATGAATCATACGGCCTATTTTTGTATCATCAGCAAATCTGCTCATGTCACTTGTAATTCCTTCATCAAGGTCATTAATGTAAATTATGAACAATGGGCTTAAAACTGATCCTTGTGGAATGCCACTAGTGACTAATCCCCACTCGGATTTGACCCTATTAATGGAAACTCGCTGCTTTCTATTGGTAACTTTACCTTCTATACCATGAGCTACAACTTTTCTTAAGAGACTTTTGTTAGGTACTCTATCGAAGGCTTTACTGAAATCCAAATAAATAATAATATATTCTTTATCACTGTCTACTCCTCAAATATTTTATTGCAGAACGTCAGCAAATTTGTCAGGCAGGAACGACCTCTCGTGAACCCATGTTGAATTCATTAATCAAATTATTCTCATAGTGACTTCTAATAATATCTGCTAAACTGATTCTAATAATTTGCCTACTATAGATGTCAGGTTTATTGGACGAAAATTTGATGGAATGGACTTATTTACTGATTGGAAAATAAGAACTACATTAGCTATCTTTCGTATCTCAGCCACAACACCAGTTAGGATGGATGCATTAAACACGCTCGTTAATGGATGACTAAGTTCCGTCTTGCATTCTATAAGTCCCCTGGGAAACAACTCGCCAGGTCCCGGGGACTTATTTTGTTTCAGTTTATCTATCTGTTTGATAACCATGTCCCTCATGACAGTAATATTAGTTAATTTGAATTCTTCAGCAACTGAAAAATTGTTAATTTCTGGAATCTCATTTATGTCTTCTTGTGTAAAGGCTGACAAAAAATAATCATTAATGGAAGTAAAAACACATATGTAGTATAATAAAGGATCACATTATACTGCATATGTGTTTTTACTTCCATTGTGTCGGTATTTTATACCATTCACTTCCATCCAATAATCATTAAATAGAGAACACATTTCCAGTTCGTTATCCGTCAGCTGTCCATTCCAAATTTTCAGAGTTCCTACTTTTTCCCTCACCTTCGTCCTATAAACTTGAAAGAACCCTTTTTTATTAGTCTTTGATTCATTAAGCTGGATATGTCAGGAAGATGGTATTCTTTACAACCTTGGTCTTATTTTTGTACAGATTGTTCTCCCTTCTTCTTGATTTGCCGGTACTCTCTCGGTCCGGGTCTTTTCCAAATGGTGACCCGACCTTGGCTCCCTGTCTTGGAAATGTATGAGACTTATGTCTGCCATGGGAGGAAGTACATATACCTCAAACATCTCCATTCAAAGTAGGTGAAATCGCAGATCTAGAGAGTGTACAGAGATCTTTTACTGCACGTATAAGTTCTGTCAAGCACCTTAACTACTGGGAACCCTTGGAAGCACTTGACTTGTACTCGTTGGCACGCAGGAGAGAGAGATATATCATAATCTACACTTGGAAAATCCTGGAAGGAATGGTCCCAAATCTGCACACAGAAATGCCTCCCTACGAAAGTAAAAGACTGTGCAGGCGATGCAAAATGCCCCCAATAAAAAGTAGGGGCGCCATTGGTACACTAAGGGAAAAGGCCTTAAGTGTCCGGGGCCCAAGACTGTTCAACAGCCTCCCATCAAGCATTAGGGGAATTGCCAATAAACCCCTGGCTGCCTTCATGAGAGAGCTGGACAGATACCTAAAGTCAGTGCCGGATCAGCCGGACTGTGGCTCGTACGCTGGACTGCGTGCGGCCAGCAGTAACAGCCTAGTTGATCAGGCCCTGATCCATCGGGAGGCCTGGTCATGGACAGGGCCGCGGGGGCGTTGATTCCTGGAATAACCTCCAGGTAACCAGGGAATCTTCTAGGACCAACTGTCCCCAGGCCTAGCCCCGTTCCCCGCCCTCACGGGGCTCGTAGGGAAAAGCTAGGGCTCTGGTCTGCCATCTTCCCCGCCCCAGGGGAGGCTTGTGGGAATGGCAATCTTGTGAGCTGTAGGTGGTAGCAAGCTCTGGCTCTGGCCCATTCCCCGCCCTAGGAGGACTCGTGGGAATGATGTCTTCGATAATAAATATTTCTCTCCCACTTGGCACCTTAGTTGGTGTTAATTTCTGTTCTCGGCTTAGACTGTACACACATTCTCATTATAAGGCGTTGAAGAACCTGCTTTCTTTTTGGAGGACGGGCTGGACGACAGGATATTCGGCGGGATGAACCACGGGATAGGGTATGGGACAGAAGACAGGATTAGGGTTTGGCAAGTTTGATTTAAAAGGTTTGCCGTGCCCCCTGTAGCCCAGAACTGCAAAGCCCGGCTCTCGACCCAGGTTATTTTGGGTTTAAGTTTGGGTCGGGGACACAAAAAAAGCTTTCCCCTGACGGCGGGGGTCTTAGTCGTATGAGGGCCCCGCCACTAAAGCTTTTGGTCTTTTAAAACCCCGAAGCTGTCACCCAAAACGCTAAGAGGCTGCGGATGCTAGATTATAAGGCAGGCTTTTGGGGCAACAAAAAAAGGCCAAAAGCATGTTAAAAATTGCAGCCACACAGGGCCAGTGATAATGTAAATTTAATCTTTTTTTGGGCCCGAGTAAGTACAGTTCGGTTGAAATTTTCTTGAATCAAGGGCCCTTCCCCAG